TAGAAAACATTTGGGTCTACAGCGTCTGCGAATTTCATTAAGGTCGCACTGGATCCTGATTTTATCGGACTTCATAAATGTTGTACTAACAATGCACATTTCCGCACACTTGCACGCTCTCATCTAAAATGCTCTCACTTCTAACCTACAGTAAGGCGCAACTTGACATTTTGACAGGCTGTAGAATACATTGGGTCTGTAGGTTCGGCGAGTTTCATTCAGATCGCAGTGGATCCTAATTTTATCGGACTTCATAAATGTTGGGGTAAAAATGAACATTTTCGCACAACTGCACGCTCTCATTTAAAATGCTCTCACTTCTAACCTAGAGTAAGGCGCAACTTGACATTTTTACAGACGGTAGAAGACATTTGGGTATGCAGCTTCTGCGAGTACAAAACACCCCTGAGGATACAAGCCGCTTGTGCTTGTGAAACGTCCGAAAGAAATTGAATCCACGACGACCAAAACGGCCCAAAAACTCACCAATTTAATGATTCCATTTCAGTTCTTCCGGACGTTTCGCAAGCACACGTGGCTGGCATCCTCACAACGAATATACAATGTTTGGTGTGCTCATTCTCTTTTAACGTTGCTGTTCTTAATGAAAGCCACCGATTTGCTCTGTTTCCCGCAAAAGTAAAAATAAACCAACCAGGCACTCCCACAATAATGTTCTTTGTTGTTTGTCTATGCTAATGCCGCTCAACTTCTAAGCAAATATGACTAATTACATGTGCTGATACTAGATTAAGTGCTCCCGTGCATATTTATAGGGCGATTTTTCCGGATTTTTCGCATTTTCTATTTTAACTTGCCTGTTCTGATGCAGTGTGAGAATAGTAGAGCTTATTACAAATCCTTTGTTTATCTGGCCAGTCGGCAATTAAAACAATCGCATATCAAAAAGCAAACATATCTGACCTTTATCGTTATTTTTTCTGCACTTAAGTACGCGCAATGGAGAATCATCGAACATTTCGAACAAAACAGCCATAAAGTAGTCGGTTTATTAGCAAACCAGTCTAAGCAATTGCCGCATCTAATCATGCACAATATTATGCCACTCACGTGAAGCTGTCAGATGGGTTTTTGATCGGTCCTGGTAATTTGTGTCAAAAATTGCACGGTTAATTGGTGCGAAAAGTTTTTAAGCAGACGATGTCAATTAGTGCGTGGGATTACTGCAAACAGCGACACTTGCCTTTAGCGCAAGGTCGTTACATGCGGAAGATTATAGACAAGATTATCATAATCGGAGATAACGAGAAATAGGAAAACGTAAACAACTTTTCGGAGCATCATTTTTAGATTCTGACGCACCGTCTGCTACTCAGTTCAATTTCGTTCGTCATTCCCTTTCGCTCTCCATCGTCTCATACAGTGGAGCTTAACAGTTGCTTCTTCTAGTTGCCATCAATGCACTGTCATCTGCATATGCGAGGTTGTTCAATGCAATCGCTCACTGGTAACTGCAAGTGACACGTTGATCGTGCAAAATCAGAATGATGAGAGACCTGAATGAACTTTTCAGAATCTGAATATTCATCATTCGTCTATGCACTGTAAAAATGTCAAGTCGGTAGTCGTTTTATTTGGAAAGTTACGAATTTTCTAAACAGACCTTGTATGTCCGTAGGCAACGTTAATTTTTACTTCAATATTGAAAATGTGTGCAAAATCAGAATGACGAGGGATCTGAATGAACTTTTCAGAAAATTAACATTCATTCTTGGTCTATGCACTGTCAAAATTTCAAGTCGGTAGTCGTTTTATTTGGAAAGTTACGAATTTTCTAAACAGACGTTGTATGTGCGGAGCAACGTTTATGTTTACTTCAATATTGAAAATGTGTGCAAAATCAAAATGACGAGGGATCTAAATGAACTTTTCCGAATCTGAACATTCATCCTTCGTCTATGTGCTGTGACAATTTCAAGCTGGTAGTCGTTTTATTTGGAAAGTTACGAATTTTCTAAACAGACCCTGTATGTGCGTAGGCAACGTTCATTTTAACTTCAATATTGAACATGTGTGCAAAATCAGAATGATGCGGGATCTGAATGAACTTTTCAGAAAATTGACATTCATGCTTTTTAGTAGGAAAAAATATGTTCACTTTTTCCTACTTTTTACACCTAATTCCTATAAAGTGAGTCCGCTGTGAAATCGACTTAACAACCGAAATTACCGTCCGAGACGGTTTTTATTGTAACGAATCGAATTAATAAAGAAATAATTGACGAAATTTGGCCTGTTACTCCCTGTGCCACGCTCCCATCGTCCTCACAGCAAAACCTTTTCCTATCACCGACTTAATAAACTTTAATAAGTCTCATTTGAATTATTTGTTGTTGTGGACTTGTTTGTCTATTATAATGTTTCATTGATTATTTTCATTGTACTTGATTGTTGTTCATTATCACTTTTCAGCCAAGGTGCTGACCTATACAGAGTGTTCACTGTTTTTGATGCAGCTGAATTCCATTTGGGGAACCAAACTAAATCAATTGCATCAACCAACTTCGGTATGTCGTAAGCTAATCGTCGACGTTACGGTAAATACCGTGCAAATTGCGGTGTTTATGTAGAATGGCGCACTATTGGGCACCGGGCCAAGGATTCTAAATAATAAACTATGCGGATTATCTGACGTGATTTCCACATGTTTGCAGGGAATTTCGCCGTTTTTTTTTCTCGAAAAACCGGACAATTGACTGCTGTCGATTACCGTTTTCCTAGTTCATTAGCGAAGAGTCACAGCCAGCTACTGTTGTGTGGCGATTCTCGGAAATTATTAGAATAATGTTATTGGATAATTTTTTTATTATTGCCACGGGTTTTGTTGTCGGCGTGTAACTAAAACACACGTGGATAACATTAACAAACCTCCAATAACCCATCAGACGGCGTCAGGAACCCGCTCACTAAACGCACTGTCATGAACTAAATGCTACTCTATAACTACTCTCTAAACGAGGCAAAAACATCTAGATTCAAATGAGATTTATAAATATTTAAATCCGAAATCTTCACTGGGGGGTTTCACTGCATGTATATTGGGTATTTTCCCATTTCCTTTTGTACTAAAAATGTACTGTTTTGCTTGCAGAAAGAATATTTCCCGTCATGAATAGGCTGTGGTTGCTCTTGATGAGCTTGGTGTTTATCGCAGCGGCCAGCAGCAATACTGACCGATGTCTAACAGATTATCCAGGTGAGATAACTTTAACTATTCCAGACGCTTCTGGCTTCTCAATGTGGATTTTCCTTCCAGAGGTGAACCCGAAAAAGTACTTCGACTACAATGGCACGTCGCTGGAGATCAAGATCGAAACGTCTGATCGCATGACCCACCAATTGAGCACGTGGGTTTTCTACTATTTTATCAAGGAAGTCGTTGGTTACGCGAAGATTAAAGTGGTTCATGAACGGGACGACTTCCAAACCATGGACGTTTTACGTCGGATGACCGACACATATGTTCTGTAAGTGGAGGAATAGACGATACCAAAATGCGTGTCCAGACCCCTTAATTCCCATAGCAAAACTCGCCCTTCTTTTTCCTTTTATATAATAATTTCTCGAAATAAATATTTGATTGGTGGTTCACTCGATCATTTGCCTGTTGGCGTTTCGCATCTAAAGTAACCTGGCAGTACATTGCGACGCAATTTTTATTTTTCCACCCGCCTTACGACGCAGATTTTTTCTGTTGGTTTCTTGAAATTGTTGTTAGTTATGCTTTAATCGCGTGTTCACCTGTTCAGCTTGCAACATGCTGCCTGCTAGACTGTGATGACGTCTTTAATTGAACTGATAACAAATTCTTCCAGCCACTTAAAGATTGTTGTCTGAATATTTCATTGGAACTGCTTAAATTGCCCGCCAACTCACTTCAAGGGGACACAATTGAAATTTTCTTAGCTTACGATTCACTTTCTCAAAGAATAATCTTTGTTGCTGTTCATATTTGTGCAACTTTTCCCGCATTTGCTGTTTTCACTTCCAATTCAATTGCTTGTATAAATTTCGACAGTTTTTTAGGAAGTTTGTGGATAATGAAAAAACAATATGGTGCCAGTGGGCAAACACGTTTGTTGGTGATGGAAAGTTACATTACGCGTTTCGAGATTATCGAGATTGTTTTTCACATCATTTAATATCTGATAATAATGCAATCAAAGGTCGACTAGGCGATTTTTCGCATCGCTTTCATGCAACGCAATCATATTGGCAGACTAAATTTATCTCACTTAATCTCAAATAGGACAGTCACTAACTCAACAATGCCATAGAAAGGAAAATTAAATACATTTTCAGTCATTTTATACGCCGAAAATAATAACAACTTGTGGCGCAACTATTGGGTCAAATGGATGTGAAATAAGAAAAAAATGCCAGAAAACCTTTTTCGATGTAGTGATGATCTTGCATGCTCTTACAGGAACCCCAAATAGTTGTTTTCTCATTTTTAGTGCTCGTTTGTATGACGGGATTTGGATTGGTGTAAAACAAAAGCCTGTTTTTTAAAACTGCCGACGTTTCGCCATTTATTTAGGCCGGCGGAGGCCTAAATAAATCAGGCGAAACGTCGGCAGTTTTAAAAAACAGGCTTTTGTTTTACACCAATCCAAATCCCGTCATATAAACAGACATTTTTGCCCTCTCCAGAAGAATTTCTCCAGAAAAGAAACTGCTACTAATAAATATGGCGCTTCTAAACTTCTTCGTCTAGCGAATTATTTGATGTAGGTACAGAACAAGCGAATACTTTTCGACAAACTCTTCGTGAGATAACCGAATCAAAGTCGACTTTTCCAAAGGCATTTTTTTATTTTGTAAACGTCCCTGATTAAAGTTTTGCGCTAACAACAATGTAAAGGTCAATGTCATTACAATAATTAAAGCAAGTTTATTCATCGAACCGTATGGAACATAAAAATAACAGCTGCATTGATTGTTGTCGTTCCATTGAAAAACTCGATCAATGTTTTTTATCTATTTGGATTGCTACGATATGTTCGGATTTGTTTTCGCCAACCAAGTAGATTGTGCGCTGTTTTTGATGCCAGGCATCAACATCATGATCTTATCTGGCGACCGTAATTCAATTAAATTAAACAGAAATCTACGAAACAGACAATCGGTGGAGGATTGGCGCCATTTATACATATATAAAGGTTATTAAAGGGTCTTATCGTAGCTTTTGCAATTTGATAAATTGCGTTATGTATACATACGTACAGGATGGTTTCTTTCGAAATATATTTTTATTTGCTTTTATATTTCTAAATTGCTAAACGCGATTAACTGCTGATACGATCTCTAACTCTAAACGCTTTTTTCTGCATTAGATTTCCAGAACTTTTTGCTTCTTAAGCGGCGTTAAATGCGTGACTTGAACAAAACTGAAAATAATGCGGCAATTGCGCCATGCATGCACACGAAAAACTGGAAAGAAAACTGGGTGTTGGGAACAATTGGTCTTGGGCGTGCCGCACTGTGGTCATAACGCAGAAATCGATTTGTGTAGCCGATTTTTAATTAGATTAAAAGTTCGCAGTCTGATAATTGTAATTTAATTATTAAACAACCACAATAGTCAAGCGCGAGTGGAATTCGCGCTCTTTAAAATCACCGTCCAACAGAAGACACAAATATTCTCTTCCTACTTATTTATTATCGAAAGAGTCAACCAGTCAAACTGGTGAATTTTTCTCGCGCCGTGAAAATTGATTTCTTCCTGACGTTTCGCAAGCACGGGCCACGTGCATCCTCATATGTGTTTGGTATTCGCAGAAGTTGTAGTTTCAAGTGTCTTCTACAGTCTGTGAAATTTGCAAGTTGATCTTTGCGCTGGGTGAGAAGTGAGCGCATTTTGAAGGAGAGTATGCACTTGTGCGGAAACGTCCATTGTAAGTCCCGATTCTTCAGGTCAGGTGATCGAGGTGGTCTAGCCATTGCTCCACCTCCTCCAATTGATCCATTTGATGTAATATTGGAAAGAAATGAGGCGGAGCCCTTTCATGGGCATAAATCGCGTGTTTGCGAGGAATTCTATACGCACTTCAGCTTTTAGACGTCGTGGCAGCACAAATCGGAACTGGCAAAAATTTGCGCAGGCATTTTGTTGACTCAAAAGGAACTTTTCCCTTTTTTCCACCCACGAGTTAAAATCATCCGGAGGCTTCAGGTCAGGTGGTCGAGGTGGCCTAACCATTGCTCCACCTCCTCCAATTGATCCATTTGATGTAATATTGGAAAGAAATGAGGCGGAGCCCTTTCATGGGCATAAATCACGTGTTTACGAGGAATTCTAAACACACTTCAGCTTTTAGCCGTCGTTGCAGGACAAATCGGAACTGGCAAAAAATTGCGCAAGCATTTTGTTGACTCAAAAGGAACTTTTCCCTTTTTTCCGCCCACAAGTTAAAATCATCCGGAGGCTTCAGGTCAGGTGGTCGAGGTGGCCTAACCATTGCTCCACCTCCTCCAATTGATCCATTTGATGTAATATTGGAAATAAATGAGGCGGAGCCCTTTCATGGGCATAAATCACGTTTTTACGAGGAATTCTAAACACTTCAGCTTTTAGGCGTCGTGGCAGCACAAATCGGAACTGGCAAATATTTGCGCAGGCATTTTGTTGACTCAAAAGGAACTTTTCCCTTTTTTCCGCCCACTAGTTAAAACCATCCGGAGGCTTCAGGTCAGGTGGTCGAGGTGGCCTAGCCATTACTCCACCTCCTCCAATTGATCCATTTGATGTAATATTGGAAAGAAATGAGGCGGAGCCCTTTCATGGGCATAAATCACGTGTTTACGAGGAGTTCTAAACACACTTCAGCTTTTAGACGTCGTGGCAGCACAAATCGGAACTGGCAAAAATTTGCGCAGGCATTTTGTTGACTCAAAAGGAACTTTTCCCTTTTTTCCGCCCACAAGTTAAAATCATCCAGAGGCTTCAGGTCAGGTAGTCGAGGTGGCCTAACCATTGCTCCACCTCCTCCAATTGATCCATTTGATGTAATATTGGAAATAAATGAGGTGGAGCCCTTTCATGGGCATAAATCGCGTGTTTGCGAGGAATTCTAAACACACTTCAGCTTTTAGGCGTCGTGGCAGCACAAATCGGAACTGGCAAAAATTTGCGCAAGCATTTTGTTGACTCAAAAGGAACTTTTCCCTTTTTTCCGCCCACAAGTTAAAATCATCCGGAGGCTTCAGGTCAGGTGGTCGAGGTGGCCTAGCCATTGCTCCACCTCCTCCAATTGATCGATTTTTTGACCGAATCAATAATCAACTATTTGAAATTGCAAGCCAAAAAAGAACTTTCTTTCACTGGCGTGCTATTTGGCCAATAATTTTGTATTTTTTTATATTTAGATTGTTTTTTGATGTTGAAAACTTCCATGTTTAATCTTTTCAGGGTAGCCAACACGACCATCAACTTGGAAGTTTGGATATCACCAGACTATGATACTTATGTGACGGACTTGGTGAAGGAATGCGGTAGCGTGTCGCCGCCTGGACGATTTGGATGGTTTATCCCAATCAGCATGACCAAACCGATCCAGAACTACTTTAATCCGGACAATATGTCCGATATCAAGTCGATTCATTGGCGGCACTTTCGCGATCGAAAGTTTGTCGACAATTTCCACATTGCCGACAGTCTTTTGGAAATTCTGCACACTAAAGGCTATACAAAGCAACGGGACAACCAAGAGTGAGTAGTCAATTTTTCGGAGTGGGTGGGATTTGGTTTCGAAATGTGTGAACCCAGACGCATTAATCACTTGGTGTTGTTTGAATCTTCGCGACAATAAAACGAACCTTTGCCAGGATTGTCTTCGGCTTGGCAGATACCGGCAGCGATCAATTTATAAATATTTATAATTTCCGTTTAGCATTCCGCGTAATAAAACAACACAAGGTTGGGTTGGATGGTTAGTCATTGAACGGGCGAAATTTGCGAGTAAACAACTACCGTCAAAAACAAGGCACCGAATTGGTCGTTGATCCTTGATTGGAGGACATTATTTAGCCGTTTGGGTTATTCCCGGGTTCTCATTTCGGCGCTTGATCAGTCCATTCACGCCCTTGTGCTGTTGAATGGGAAATTTAATTACTGTTCGGGCCAAGAAAAAACGCGCACATTCATTACATAATGAACGCATCAGCCAAGTATGTTTGCTGAAACAAATATGGAAAGGGGGTCTTGTGACACCTCAAATGAGAGGAATTTTCAGCCTCTATTCAGTGCCGCTTTGTATTTCGAAATGACGCAAACCAATATGCTTTTTGAAAAACTCCACTTTAAGCAATTTTCATCTCCCAGTAGCTATTAGGAAAAGTTTTATAATGAAATGAATATGCAACAGCACCGGACCCTTAATTGCACTTCTTAGTTACACTGTTGGGTTTTAAGCAACGAATTTATTATCATTCTAATGCAGGCGACATGCTATTTTCACGATCCAATTTCGCAAATTTTAATTAGCGGCCACCGTGATTACTTATTTTGCATCCTGAATATAAACAGTGTGTTATTTGTTTGGATCTTAGCAGTATATTCGGGGCCGCGTCCATTCCGGCCCCACATGCAACCATGCACTGTCATAATAGTTTAAGTTGTTTATCGCATTCGCGAAAATAAACCCAACTTGTTTTAATGCAGGCCGACGGGGATTATGCTTGCGCAATTGGGGCCGTTTGGCTAAATAGTTGCACGCAATCACTGTGACTCACTGGGAAAACGTTTTTGAAAGATTGGGGGTTTTTTCTTGCAGATACGTGTGCCCTGCAGCCAATTGCACGAGGAGTTTATATGTGCCCAAACAGTGCGAATATGAAATTTGTGCAGTTTTGCTCACTTCGGAATGGAGTGCTATGCAATTCGTGCTGTTGCACATTCGGGAAAATAATTTATATGTGAAGGTTTTATTTCTGGGGCCGAATCTGTTGAATGCGGTCAACTATCTCAAGGGGACCTCGAAATTATTTGCCCCCAAAAGTTTGGTAAGTTTATTGATTTTCAATTGAACTGAATCCCTATAATGGAAATCGCGTCAATTCTAGGTGATTTTAAGTTGGACGCCCAGCGATGTGATCTTATACGACAGCCAGTTTGTGACTGTTTCCTTTGAAAGTGGCGAGCGAATGAAGTTCACACAATTGGACGCTGTGGGGTACAAGTACGAGATGCATCGATTAGTCAAAGTGGCCTGGAACAAAATGGAAACCTCGGCCAAGCCACTCTATGAGACGTTGAGAAGTTTCAAGTTCGAGGTTCCTCAGTATAAAACATTGATGGATATGTACGATAAAAACCGCAATCTCTCCTACAAGAAAATCGCCTGCATGTGGATGAAGCAGTACAATCACACCTGGCTGGGCTGGCAAACCAGCAAGGAGAATATTATTTATATCGGTAAGCAGCCAGTCAATGGCAAAACCGCCAGAACCGACTGTTTTCTGCTATCCAGGTGGTATTTTTCCCATGTCTGGATCGTCGTACGCCGGCCAAGGCATTGCACGTGCTTCTGTAATGGCAATGAAAGCCATCAATGAAAACAGCACCATTCTCAATGGATATTCGCTGAAAATCCTCATCACTGACGGAATGTGCAGGGCCGATAACGTTATGAAAAACTTCATCGACTTTATTGTCGATCAGGAATACTACAAGAATTTAGTCGGCGTACTTGGTCCAGCTTGTTCCGACACAGTCGAGCCTCTAGCTGGCGTCTCCAGACATTATCGTATTATGGTGATTTCATACAGTGCAGAGGGCTCCAGCTTTTCCAATAGGGAGAAATATCCTTTCTTCTTTCGGACAATTGGTGAGTCGATGCAGTTCTTTAGTACAATAACAAGCACATTTATTGGTCCTTTCCATGCGTTCTTAAAGTGCTTTCCTCTCTCCCTTAACTTGAAATCTTCGTCCAAAAGCTTGTGTGTTTGTAACACTTTTCGTACTCAAGCACACCAGTAATCTAGTCATTCCAGTTCTCATTGCACCCTTTTGCGCTCACGAGAGGCTTGAAACAAGCCTTATTCTGAACCATTCGGGTTTTATGTGAGCATTCACCATTTCATCAAGGTACACTTTGAACCCGATACCAAAATCCTTTTTAGCTCTATCAATACCGAATTAATCTTGCTGGTTCTTTTCAGGTGAAAACAAGCACTACAAGTACGTATACCAGGAACTGTTCAAATATTTCAAATGGAAACGCGTGGCGGCCTTGACTGAAGATGGTCAAAAGTACACGGAGTACATTTCGCTGATGCAGGATGAGTTGGAGAAAAATGGCATCACATTCATAGCGAACAAGAAGTTCCCAAGGGAGCGCGAGACTGAACCAATGACCAGAGTGAGTTAATAAATGCAGTTGCCTACCAAGTTTCTGATTGCCCAATCGCGATTACTGATGCAATTTTATTCTACTACGGATCGATAGGTCGTAAATGGCAAAACACATTCGGACAATAGGCCGATTATCATCTGCCAGTTTGGGTCAAAGGCTGTTCAATGGCACTAAACTTGCCTTCATTTAAATAGCAATAGCGTCAGGTAAATCGCGTTTAAAAATAACGTAGGCACGTCAGTAAAAGCCTACACTTCAGCCTACTTTCTAATCTAATTTATCAACAATAATTGGAGGAGGAAGATTAATCGGTTTTCGGTTTGTTAACATGAGACCCTCATCCATGGTTTTTTTAAACCTTTTGAAACAAGAAGCAGCGCAAATAAGTTACAATTTTTACTAAACACTCTGCTGCTTTGAACGAGGTGCCCTTTTTTGTCCATAAAAACGAACACTGGATCCATAGAACTTTTTTATATTTTTCCAGTACTTAGAGGATCTGAAGAGCAAAAGAGCGCGCATAATTATCGCCGATGTCGTAGACGAAATAGCGCGACAAGTAATGTGCGAAGCCTACAAATTGAGCATGACTGCTAGTGAGGGATACGTTTGGTTCCTGCCAATGTGGCTGAACAGTACTTGGTACAACACAGACTACTTCAACACGAATAAGAACGAAACCGTCAACTGTACAACAGCGGAAATGATTAAGGTATTTGGATAAACTCGCCACATTGAACGCATTTGCCATGGCTGTGCGGGCCACGCTCCTAACTTTTAAGGCATTTGAAATACACCAAGTATCATTTTTATTTTTAGAATCCATTTATAAACTCCACATTACCTAATGCGTCATAAACTATATCAAAAATAAATCTCATGCAACAAATAGATTTTCTTGTTTGTGAATAATGGCGTAGGTCGCCAACCCATCGCCAATTATCATGGACAATGTGGTTTATTTGCAGAGTAGTTTTCTGCGAGCAATAAATATAAGCAGATGTTTTGTATTGTGGGGAATCGGACTGCCAAAGTTAACTCATCACACTTTTGTTTCACATCTGGGCAAGGTGTGATTTACCATTCATTTCTGCTTACTAATTGATGCAAGAAACGCCACAGAAACTGAGCCTGACATGGGAAATCGTATTTTACTACGATTTTGATTTTAAAACGGCTTATCGTAAAGAAGATTCCCATTCCCTCCCGATTTCCCATATCAAACTCAGTTTGATCGATTTGGTAGAACCTGCGGGTTGCAAATTAAGAGTACAGTTCAACGATAATTTTTCCAATTTAAAAGATACGTAAATAACTATAAGAATCATTTTTTTCAAACCGATCGCGTACCAGCCAAGAACTAAATTGAAGCAGATGGCTTTGAATTTTGATACTTTCAGGCCATCACTGGATATTTCTCTATGACGCACGCCTATTATGCACCGGACAATCAGACGATGCAAGAAAACAAAACAGTGGGCGAATGGTATCAAACGTATCAACATGCATCCCCTCCGAACGCTATGTCTGATTATGGTGGTTTTGCCTATGATGCCGTTTGGGTGTACGCTTTGGCGCTAGACAAACTCTCCAAAGTTGATCCCGAAGCTCTTTCCGATATCCATTCAGTGAACACCACTAAGTAAGAGTCGGATGATCTGGCTGTAAAAAATCGGCTACTAACCTTAAGCATTTGCAGTAAATTGGTGAAAATGATCGAGCAAACCGATTTCTATGGAGTTTCCGGTCGAATCAAGTTCCGCGGCGGCCCATCAAGATTCTCGATTATCAAAATTCTGCAATGGTACGAGAACGACACCCATCTTATCGGCGAATTCTACCCAGATCTTACGGACGATAAGCCGGAAATTTTGGGCGGCGAACTGCAGGTGATCTCGGAAAAGATCAGATGGTATACAAGCGATGGTGAGCCATTGAACTGCCATTCTGGAACAAATCGCCACAATTTTAGACTGTTTCAGGAAACGTGCCTAAAGACGGCAAGCTACCGCCTCCAGTATGCGCCATCGAAGGTATCGCGCAAATGTTCAACGTTGAATGCCAAACGGCGATGATCATCTTGAACGTGATGGTGGCAATATTCTTGGGAATGACCGTGATGGGGGTGTGTCTCTACTTAAAGATCAAGTACGACATGAGAGTGAAGAGCCAGAAAGAGTACATGGAGAAACTAGGAATCAGATATGACGATCAAAAACACACCCCGAATCTGGAAGCGTTCGAGGTAGCCCAAACTGATGTTGATATCAATCGCATATTAGGTAAGTCGACTAGTGTTTTTTCATCCGCAACAAGACATTTTTTACCGCTGAGAATGGAACTGCAAGTTGAGTTACCATTTGAAGAGTTCAGGGAAGAAACGTGCAGTCAGTATTGAGGCCAAAGTGCTTTTGACCTGCTCATAAAAAAGGCGCGTGTAATTTACTGCAGAAAAAAAGATAACGAAGCATACTAGTGCCGGGTACAAAAAATCTGCGTGAACCTAATCTTTCAACCAATGATGTTTTTTATTTTCAATTGCATTCTGAAACATGCTTTTTATTATTTCTATTCAGTTTGAATATTTGTTAGCTTATGAAGCTTCATATTTTTACAAACTTCTTTTTGGGTATATTGCCTCAAAAATTTTTTTCTTTAAAAAAGACAGAATTTCCTCACGTCTTTTATTACAGATTGATAAATAGTGCTCCCATTTCGCAATAAGAACGAATTATTTATCAAAAAGT